GTCGTCTGTGTTGTCCATCCTATATTTCTGGCCGCATGGCTACTCCGGTTTCTTTGAGCAGGGAATATCCCAAATCCCTTCTGCATCCTGTTTCGTCGTGACGTTGTCGTGTTCCTGTCCGAGTCTACGTGTTCGCATACAGGGCGGGGCCTGACGATGCAAGCGCCAAGGGGAGTCAAAGGGAGGACACTAATGAGCGAGTAAGTCGAATATCTGACTTCAACCTGCTCCCAAATGCAAAGTGGTACGATGACGCCAAAGAAGCTGTGGCCATACGTCGTGATAGTTGCTGCCCGACTGCTGAGGCGCAGAGTCGGTGACTCGGGCACCCCATCTTGGCAACTCCGAAGAAACTTCGCAGTCCTGAAGGTGCCTTGCAGTCCCGATGATCGAATTCATCTCGTCTTTGATACTTCGGTACTCGGAGATGTAAGCAGAAAGCATAGAGGGGAAGAAAGATGACCAGAGCCTCTCTCACGCCCCGTTGTCCCCCTCCCCCATCGCCGCCTCCGGAACGGAGCCCTCTGGGTCGGGATGCTGACTCGGATCGTGACCCCCCTGCTGAGCGAGGAACTCGGCGTACTCGGCGCTAGCCAATGCTAGCTGCCGCGCAGCCGTTTCGATCCGGAGCTGGAATCGAACGTGGGGGTTATCGCTCCGTGCCTCCGTCATGGCTCTGTCCAACACATCTTTCACGAAATGGGCAATGGTCGGATCGGCGCCTGGCTGCCCGAAGCTGGGGCCTGCGGGGGCCATGCCGGGAGCCATCGGCGCTGTGCCGGCAAAGCTTGTATTCGCCGACACCTGTGGCACAGGCTGCAGCTGTATGGCTGGCATGTGCTGAGGCAGGTTGTTCTCTGTGTGGCCAAGTTTGTTAGTCACCCAACACCTTGACATCTAGTTGAGCTTGTGGGCCATTTTGCCTACCGTGGAAAGAACAGCGCGAGCCGCTCGCATTGAACCAGCAGTTGGCGCAGCTACCACACATTTGGCCACTGACGACCACACATCCATTCCAGGGTCCATATCCTTTATGGCAGCTCTTGCAGGGACTATGAGCCTCCTGTCCCGATACGTGGGCCAGTAGTGCCTCGACATTGCTCCTTCTCTTGAGGTTCAGAGTTTGATCCTGGCGGCGTTGTACGGCGAGTCGCTCTCCTTCATTGTTGGCCAGTCGCTTGGCGAGGGCACTGTCGATGAGTAGCTGGCCGTATCCACTCTCGGAAGCGAGGTCTTCGGCCGTCCTCGACATACCGCCAGGACCATGCCCGCCCATCTGGGCTTCCATGGCGAACTGGGCCGGCAGGCTGTGTAGGTCGGGATGGATATCGGGGTCAGCGCCGGGTACCGTGCCGGGAGGACCGTTGGCTAGGATGCCTGCGGTGGCTAGGTCGAAGGGGTGCGGATGGTGTTGCTGCTGGTGATGATGTTGGTGATGTTGGGGAGGGGCGGTTATCTCGTCGTCATCTTCGTGTTCGGCCTCGGCCTCCGCATCGTGGGCGAGCTGCTCGAGCTGGTCGGCAGCCACGGAGGAGTGTCGGCTGGCGCGGCCGTGAGCGTCCCTCTTGAGGCCAGCTGTGGGCTTCGTCACCTTGTTTGGGCGGCCTCGAGGAGGTGGTCGGCTTCCGCCTCGGGCACTCATGGGGTAATCGAAGAGGACGCTGCCTCTTTTGCGATGGTGGACGGTGAGGGAGCTCTAGCTAGTCGGCGATGATAAGTGGCGTTGAGAGTGGGCAGCTGGTGTCAGCTGGAAGAGTGTGTGATGAGGAGTTTGGGGGCCTCGAAAGAGCTGGTGTTGATTGAGCGGGAAGAAGCTGCTGATTGCTGTTCGGTCCCACTCACAATTTGGGTGCTTCCATTGTGGTGCAGTTGGGAGTGGGAGCTCGGGCCATAAGTTCTCCGCCTAAGCTTTGCCGAGTATTATGTAATCCATATCGAGAAGCCTACCTAAGGTTGTGTAGAAGTGGTAGGATAAGGTAGGTATAAGAAGGTGCCATGTCACCAATCACGTCACTACTTTGATCTCACCTTGATGATTATTACTTTCATGTGACAGTCGACGTTCTAATGTCAAAGACTGGAGGTGCAGGCACGTGGCAGGGCAAATGGTCTTTCGCTACCTATACTGCTTTGGCAATGCTGGTTTCTTGTATCCCGTCCACTTCAAACGCCTACCTTGGCTGAGCCAAGACATCCCTTGGAACGTAAGGGAAGAACCTTTCGAGCACCTGGGTTGGGCCAGGAAGAAAGAAACATGCGCAAGGGGGAAGTCCAACCCTGACCGTCTTCAAATCTTCAGCTTCTAATGGCTGTTTCGAATCTTAACCTGACCGTAGGCCGGATCATTCTAGCCATGGTCCTCCATTCATTCACCTCGTTGCGACGAACCTCACGACTCAGCTGTGGGAGGGTTCTCCCAGACATCACCTCCACCCTCAGCCTCCGTCATCTCCTTCCACCTCTGAGCGAACTCCCTCAGGCCACCGTCGCCTGACATGCTGGCCTCCACGACCTCCTTGGGAAGTTTGTGCGCCGAGTACTGCGGTGTGCTGAAGTTGAAAGCAGCAGGGTTATCCTTCTCGACCAACCTCAATTCAGGCACCAATTCGTCAACGTCTTCATCGTCTGTTGTTTCTTCAACGCCACTGCCATCAACAAGTTCCTCCCCGTTGACACCCGGGCCTATTCTAATAATCTCTTCTTCGTTGACAACTGAGCCTAGGATGGGTCCCGGAACCTTGAACTCTAGCAATTCCACCCAGCTGTAGAGCAGGCTATCTGTCCGAGGCGCCCAGGGGTTGATATCGATAAGGCGCACCTTGCCAAGCTCGTCGCATGAGTCGCTGTCCCCGGGAACGTAGACGTCAAACGTGAATGAGCCGTCTGGGAAGGTGAAGCGCAGGCGGTCTTCGAAGAAATCGGTGATCTTGGATACCAAGGCGGGTCGTAACCCATCGAGGAAGGGGTAGTAGTTCCAGTCACGCTGGCAAAGACCAATCAGAGTGCGATGTTTGACGAAGCACCGGAACTCGAGGGCCGGGTTTGGCGCAAAGAAGGGTCTCAAGACCAGGACCGGTTGGAAAGGCCTGTTGGCGGAGGAGGGGACGGTGTCCTCAAAAGCGTGCTCCAGGTCATGGCTAACGAAGCTAGAGCTCTTGAGCAGGAGGTAAATGTCGTTGGGCGTCGTGCATTTCAGCGTGTTCTGATGCGGTGAAATCCAAGCGGCATCTTTCGGTGCTGACCAATTCAGCTTCGGCGCAACGGCACCACCCAGCTCCTTGATCCTCTCCTTGATTTCTTGGTGAATTTCAGGGAATCGCTCATTAGGCGGTCGGCAGTCAGCTTCGGGTTCGTCGTCGGAATCATCTTCTTCGAGATGTTGGTTTCGTCGTGGCGCGCCGGCTGTGTTCGAGGAAGCGGACCATTCCTCCTCTGCTTCATCCTCTTGCGGCTCATCGTCGTCGGCGAGAATAATGCCGTCGTCACGGATGTATTGGACAAAGTCAGGCGATAGCTTGATCATTCTGGATCTGATCGACACAGTCCGGTACTTCGGGAACCAACTATCGTACGAACAGTTCAGAATATGCTCCTTCGTGACTGGCGGAAAACTGAGTTCCTCAGTCTCTTGGGCAGTTGCATTGTTGATGGCATCGAGGGTTGGCTGCCCCTCAGTGAGACCTTCAAGTGATGGCATTGTCGTAAATTTAGCCTATCTTGATTGAAGCGTCTCAATACTAAATCCAGGTTGTTGAAGTCGAGAATATAAGTGATTTTGGGTACCGAGGTTCTGGCAAAAAAATATGATGAGGTGAAATTTGCTCTGTTTCTCACTTACATCGATGAGTCTTCTCACACTGAGTGAGTCTTCCCGTCGCCCAAAGCGGAACAGTACCCCACCATCCCACCCGTCATAAGTTTTCTGCCGGCCCGCATCTCTCTATCCACTTTCACCGCCTTTCAAGGCCCAACTGAACTTCGTCTGCGGTACCATGGCCAAGGGTCTAGTCTCGGTGACGTCTCTTGCAGATCCAAAGTACCGAGATACATCTTGATTTTCCCGCCAACACCGACGCGAGGGATCAACATCAACAGCGCATTAATCACTTCCTCCGACTAGAGTTGGTATACACCAAATAATCTCGATAACCATGTCTGACAACGTCGGTCTCTCAACGCCTCGTGGTAGCGGTACTTCGGGCTATGTTCAGCGCAACCTTGCGCACATGCGCCCACGCGACTATGGCGCGCCCTATCCTCCCAAAGACGCCGACTCGCTCCGCCACAAGCAGCGACAGCCCGATAAAGAGATCTTAGAACATGATCGCAAGCGTGAGGTTGAGGTCAAAGTCCTCGACCTGCGTGACACTCTCGAAGACGAAGGGTAAGCTAATGCCCCTCCCCCATCTCTGGCCACGCAATGATACTAACGGTGCTCTAGCCTCGACGAGGAAGAAGTTGAGAAGCGATGCGACGAAATGCGAAAGAAACTACTGGCCGACCTCGAGAAACAAAAGAACAGCCGTGGCGGCGGCGGCGGTGGTCCCGTACGGAAGCACTTTAAAAGCCATCAGGTCCACGAGATGGCAGACGCCAAGATCAAGGAGAGCGAGAGACTCAGGAGTGCTTTGAGAATAAGCAAGGACTACGAGGAAGGAAGTCACTGGAGGAGACAAGAGGAGAGACTTCGGGGCTCTCTAGAGAAGGAGACCAAGAGGGAAGACGTCGACTAAAGCACCGATTACACAGTAGAGCTCTTGTTACGAGGCATGGCGCCAGGATTTGGGCATGGAATAGCAGGGAATAGGCGTTCAGGCGTTTGCATTGGAGGGCGACCAAATACAGACACGCTGCTAGGGCATTGCTTTTGAAGCAAACGGTACCAAGGACGATCTCATGAACTCGACAGCTGGGTCCGGTTTCAAATTATTGTTGGTACATGGGCGGAGATTTCTTCCGGCGTCTAGTAATACACAATTGGCATGCCGTCTTTTAATTCGTTATTTCTTCCCTGATGGCGGAACCCAAGCTTCTGGCTGCCAGCCCTCGCTTGGCCCACTGGCTTTCGCCCAAGGGTCCTTGCCATATTTCTTCTTCGCATCGGTCGCAAGTTGAGCCTGATCCTCTGGCGTTTCTGTCGTCTTCGCGTTCGTATTGGCTGCTTTCAGTTCCGGCGCCGTGGGCTGTGACTGGGCAGTGTTCAAAGACGGCAGAGGTTGACCAGTCTGCTGACCTGGAGCATCGGTAAGCCTAGGCTTTGCCTCCCATCTCGCGTCGGCCTGCGCGGACAAGACTTTCATCCGCTCCTGTCTAAATGCCTCTCTTGTTTGTTCTTCGAGTGTCGGGGGGTCTTCTCGAGTGTAGCGCAGCCATTGATGCCACAACGGTGACACCTTCACGTCGGAGAGGTAGGTTGATCGGGGATAGTTGACAATGCGGCGGAAGCGGCCGGGGCCATTTCCCCGGGACTCTCGAAACTCCCAGAAAGTATAGCCCTGCAGGTCACGGCCTAGAACCGAGCGTGTTAGTTCTCCTCGGTCATTGACAATGGGGATCGATGGGCCGGGGACGGGGATGGGAACATGCCGACAAGGAAGCGTTTGCGCCATGGCAGTCTGAGCGACTTCCACTTGTACCAGGCCTCCAAAATTGGTGATATCCGTGTTGAAGACATTTGCGCTGTTGAAATGGGTGGTTGGGAAAGAAATATCTTCAATCAGGAACCCAAGGCTTTCAGATACGAAAGTCGCCAAGTTCTAGAAAAGTAATGAGGTCAACCTTGGATTGCACCGCCACTTGAAATTTGGCCGAGGAATGGCGTATCTTATCGTCAGCCACATATTTCCTTTGCAATGGAAACTCGCGACTGAGCGTTCGCAGAATCAGAGTTGCATTGGCCCCGCCAGCCACCACCGCACACGTCACTCCGCAAGACCGCGGCGGTCCAGCCGGACCCTGGGTCCTGTCACCTTATCCAGGTTCCCGCCAGCGGCGCCTGGCTCTAGATGCATAAACAATTAAAACATCCCCACCACGACCGTTCTTCATCGGGCCTTCCAATCACTTCAACCTGCCACCCGACTGCCTTGATTCCCCCGCAAACATTGACCTAACACTTGTTTTCACCTACAAAAAGACTGAAGATACGCGACCGGGGAGACATCCATATCATCTGGAGCAAGTCCCGCGCAACGCGCGCAGAACGACAGAAACTTGCATCCGTCACTTGAACTCCGTCATCGCCGGACCCCGCCGACGTCAGCGCCTAACCGCCGCCTTACTGAAACGCTCTCGCGAAACCAACCTCGAAGCTCCTGAACCCGCAAGATTCGATTTGGTACAACAATACGAAAGACTATCTTAATCAATCGCCACGACGACGCCATCATGGCCTCTGTATCGTCCTTGGACAAGGATTTGCGCAAATTGCGCCTCGACAAGTACACCCCGGCTGCTGCAAAAGAAGTCAGCAGCTGGATCGAAGGAGTCTTGGGTGAAAGACTACCAGCAGGCGACTTGCTGGAGGGACTGAAGGATGGCGTTGCGCTCTGCAAGTGCGTCAATTTACATCTCGCATAACTACCAATACTGACCCAGATACCTTAGATTGATTAACCTCGCGGTACCACCACCAGGCGTTAAATTCAAGAAGTCGGCCATGCCATTCGTCCAGATGGAAAATATCTCTCACTTTCTGCGCGCCTGCAAACAACCTCCTCTCAACCTCCAAGACCACGATATCTTCCTGACCGTCGACTTATTTGAGCAAAAAGACCCTGCCCAAGTGCTTCAATGCCTGGGTGCTTTCAGTCGAGCCGCCAACGCAGCAAACCCAGCCAAGTTTCCGACGGCAATTGGGAGCCGGAGCCGAGGAGGAGTGATGAGCCCCCAAGGGACTGGCCGCGGAACCCCATCGCCGACGAGGTCGCGTGGATTCTCCAATGCATCAGGCTTCGGCTCGCCTCGGCCTACTCTGACCAGTGCCAAGACCGGAGACTCCGGCTCGGGTCGCTGGAGCCCGACTAAGCCTACTTCCCCGGTTACCAGCTGGAGCAGAAAGGAACACGAAGGCGCTACATCTCCCGCTTGGAACATAGCTCAGTACGGCTACATGGGCGGTGCCAGCCAAGGAAACCTAGGAATCTCATTTGGCAGTCGGAGGCAGATCACAAGTGCTGGTCCTGCAGTGCCTAGTTTGGCCGAGAAGGAGCGCATTCGAAAGGAGAAAGAACTCGAGGAGGAGTATCAGCGCCAACAGCAACAGCAAGAGGACACAGAAAGACGCAAGAAACTGGAGGACGAACGCGAGGCCATGCGAAAACAAGAAGAAGAGGAACAACGACTGCTGAAAGTGAGGCAAGCGGAAGAGGACGCCAAAGCGGAGAAGCTCGAGTGGGACAGGCAGGAAAAGGAATGGCGTGCGAGGGACGAGGATCGACGCAAGAAGGAGGCCGAAGCTCAAGCACGCTTGAACGAAGAGCAAAGCCGTTTAAGGAGCAAGAGTGACGCACGACTACGGGGCCAGTTCCTCAGCCAATACCAGTCTGAACAAGGCATCAAAGCACAAAAGACTGGAGCCGATCGGATTGCTGAGCTGGAGAGAGAGCTCGAAGAGGCCAGGGAACGCGAAAGGCAGTATGAACTTGAACGCCAGGGACGGACGGGCAGGACACTGGCCGTCACCAACGATCCCAAGGAACGTGTTCGGTCTAGGAGCCGGCCTTCAGATGGAACCCCTAGCCGTCAAGACTCATGGTCCAGAAATGAGCGTGAGGTTCTCCAGACGGCGTGGTCGCAACACCAAGACTCAAACCAAGATGACGAGCCCCCCGCGCCGCCACCAAGATCGCCGAGACCACTCCCTGATCCGATGGCAGTCGCCTCGCCTCCTCAAAAGGCTATAGCGCACACGACGGGTGGTCGGCCGCTCCCGGATCCAGCTGCTTATCAGGCGGCTGCGCGGGCCCCACCTAGCCGAACTGACAGATATCTCAACAATAACGCAGCTCCTGCGCCATTGGTCGCCAAGCAGACATACTCACGCGAGCTTGGTGCTACTGCCGAGCAAGACGGCGAGGACCGTCGGCGCGCTCAAAGCCAGACCAAGACTAAGGCGGGTGGTTGGGCTTCAAAGTCGCTGCTCGAGCGAGAGATGGAGATGGAACGCGAACGACAGCGTGAGTGGGAGGAGTCTCAGAAAGAGACGGCCAAGGCGGTTCCCAGTGGCAACGGAGTTGACGGTATTGGCGGTGGCATTGGAGGTCGCTGGGATGTGAGCCAGTGGGCGGGATACACTGGGGGAGACAACCAGAATCGGGGTGCTCAGGGCATCGGGGCGGGTCGTAGACAGATTGTCGGACCCAGGCCGCTACCCAATCCCCCTCGGTAAGAGGTGTTGTCAGATAGAAGGTGGTCTTTACTGTTCCCTAAGCGTAGACAGGCGCCTAATCCGCATGAACTGGGCCTAGGGCGGTTGTGCATGATGGAGCACCGGCCTGGCAATTACCGATCTTGTAATGAAGAGAATATTCACATAAACCTGACTGGTACCGATTCACTATATATGGACACTGGGTGCCTTGGCTAGAGGTTTGAAATGAACCTCATTCTGTGCCTTACGAGTTCGTTATTCCTTCTTTCTTTATCTGTTTTTTTTCAACGCCGGTATCTGGTAAGCCCTCCAGTTTCTTGTGTCTCTAGCGAAATATCGAGCGTTACTACTATACTCGTTTCATTATAGGCCAGGTTTTGAGCGGGATCTTGGCCTCTACAAGAAGATTCTTCAACGCAAAAGGAAAAAGACTAAGTTCTGACTTAAAGCCGATCCAGGCGCTGGATCTGGACGAAGTCTGACCTTGGATATTGCAAAGATCCATGTAGGTACGCCGAAAAAGCTGTTCGTTGAAAGTGAGCCTCAAAGCCCGTCATTGTAGCTGGTGATGAGGTTAGATTCATTTCCCTCGTAGTAGACAGCTATGAGAGCCCTCAGAGCCGGGTGAGATCTAAAGGCCGTCGGCCACCTGGTGTAGACACCAGATGGTATATGGACTCCAGGGCAGGGAAAGTTTATAGGCTGTTTAGTTGGCCTCGTGAACGTGTCATTATTTGCCTTTGGACATTCACCGCTGAAGAGAAGAATAGGAATTGTCTATACAAGGCTCATAGGCTCGTGATCACCAGTCCAAACTACCATGCTGAATCTGGCCAGGCTCCTGGTATCTTCAATGGCCGTTTTTCTCTTTTGAGATATCCAGATCGGTAGAGGGTTTTCATCTGCCTTCTGTTGAACCTCTCCTGCATGAGTTTCTGAGCGTATTGGAAACTTGCAGGCGGATTGCCGTCGAGATATCCACGGTCGCAATAATAAAAAGGCCCGTTTGGTTCATAGTCCCGTACAAGGTTGAAAACAAATGGCCATTCAGTCTCTTCAGATTCATAGAGTTCGCATGATTTCCACAACACGTGCTGCCGACACTGCGTGTTCTCTATCATCGTCAAGTCTCCGGGATCGGGCAGAACGTTGTCTCTGAGAAGTTCGCCAAAGTTTTGAAACTCGTTTCGGACTTCGTATGCTCTGCTGTACGGGTCGACATATCGGCGAAACAGAGGGACGTCAAACCCAGCAATCTTTGTTGTACCTGCCACTGTAATCCACGCCCTGGCCTTGTTGAAAGGGACTAACCAATCGATGTATTGCTGGAACCTCGGTTCTTCGTGTTGGAGATACCTGGCAACATCAACTCCAGCTTCCAGTAAAATCCTAACCCAGTGTGAAAGGGCAGCCTCGACTATATAGTGGCAGGATGAGCTTCGAATGAGAAGGGAAAGCATGGTATCATGCCTTTGAAAGCCCTTAAATGCATAGTAAGTCCGGTTTTCGCAGATCCTGTGAACATCCACGCCTTCATTAATCAACTCAACAAAAAGGCGAGTCCAGTCTCTTGTTCGCTGATCTTCTTGGCACCAAAATGGATCTTCATCGGCATGTATTGCCATAAGGCGAGCTGCAACGTCCCAGACAGCATCAAAGAAAGCTTTTCTCTCCATTTCATCCATGGCAGGCACTCTGCACTGACTGTATACGGCAACCAGAGGCTCTAGATCGTGGACACAACTGGCCAATAACCTAAATCTCATGGATCTGGATAGTTGTGTGAGTTCAACAATCTCATGTATTTCAAGAACACGGCCCAGGGCATCAGAAGGCCCTAGTCGGTGACTAATCAAACCGGCCCGCTGATAAGGCCTACAAATGCTAGCCGTGTTGTCAGCCCGCATACTTGGAAAAGAAATGTATATGTACGTTCTTACTTCTCATCTACACATAAATCAAGATTCTGTTGGGCGAGGAAGCGGCAGAGTGATGGCTGGTTGCAAGCCGCTGCTGACTGTAACCGGCAAGAAGTTAGCCCTTTCGAGATCTCCATCGAGTACTGATCCGATCTTGCCTCAAATAGCGTCCTATTCCCAAGCATGGTGCCTAGAGTGATTTTTCTGGTAGAGAGTAGGTTTTGCAGTGCTAGCAGGTCTCCATCGCACATGATCATCAATATCTCATCCACCAGCTTTTCGTCTTTGTCTCTTGAGAGAACATGGCGGATAGCGAGAG